GGGAAAATGCCTAGTGACATAATTAGGCATTTGATCCTATGAAGCGTTTGAGTTCCCTTTTCATCTTTCAATGAACACGTGAAAGCAATACCAGCCAGTCTCTTGCCTCACAGGTTAAAAATAGCCAGGACCATGAAGCAGGAAGAGCTGCATCTCCCTTTAATTTCCCTATGATCCCTGGTACAGCTGTTCGGAGCAGCGGGGGGAGATGTGTGATGAATCAGAGGCACTGAGCAAGATCAAGCACCATCCATCCAGAGCAACAGCCTCATCCTTCCTGTTGCTGCCACCCTCTAATACAGTTCCTCATGTGTGGGACTCCAACCATAATGTTATTTCATTGCTACTTTGTAACTGTAATTTGTTACTGTTATGAATCTTAATGTAAATATCTGGTATTCAGGATATCTGAAATGCAACCCCCAAATGGGTAAGGGGCCCCGCAGGTTGACCTTAATGGAGGTTAAGGCTCTTCGACTTGTCCACTTCAATTTTCTATCAGTGTTTGTCCTCCAATTTTATCTGAAATTCCTTTGCTCAGAAAGCCAGCCCCCAGATACTGATGAACACGCGTCCTTTATCTATTGGGTCTCAGTATTGAAGAATGGACAGATGTTTAAACAATAACGAGACTTGTTTATCAAAAGGAATGCTTAGTATGTTTTAAATCCTACCCTGGAGGAACAGATGGCTTTTGCTTGGAATTATTTTTATTTTTAAACTTTGAAATAACTATAGAAAGTTGAAAAGTATTGACAGATCCTTTGGGGGTTAGTCCCAGGTTCCTCACTGGCTACATGTTATGTAAATATAGCACAGTATCAAAATCAGGAATTAATATTTATGCACATAGTTATGTGAATTATAAGGTTATTTTTTTAAGTCAAGTACTTAATAGTATGATTTCTTGTACTTTTTCAGATATCCTTAGATTTATTTTACCTGGCTCCCCTCACCTTCCCTAATGACCTTCCCTTTACCCTTTTCCCTGGCCATATCTTTTGTGCCCAGCGACTCCCTTCTCTATTGCTCCTTAATCCCCACATCCTGGCAATGGTCCCATTTTACTTCCTGGTTTCTGTAGTTACTCTAGGCTACATACTCACACCTGAAAATTTGAGACTAGGACCCTTTAATAAGAGAGAACACGTGACATTTCTCTTCCTGTGTCTGGGTTACTTCCTGTCAAGATGACATCTTCTAGTTCCATCCGTTTACCTGGAAAGTTTGTGACTTCATTTTTGAGTAGTTTAAGATATATAACTTTTCTGACACCACCAAAGATCTGCCCACATTGAACTTTGAGAGCTCCTCATATGCTCCAGATTTGAATCCTGAACATGTTTGGCCATGTTATTTGCTAGGCAGCTGCTTTTGTCTTATATGGCTATTCTACTGAGCCTTATATTTCTGTGAGGTCTCATTTTCTCTCCCCTCTGGCACATCACATCTCATGTGATGCCTAGCATTGTCAAAAGTCTTCTGTACTGAAGGCTTCACGTGCACATTTTATAGATTTACATTTTAACATCCATCTGTATAACACAGAGGGTATGCTGGGCTTTGGCCTAAGAATATTCAATTGCTTTGGTGCCATCTGCTGAAGACCTGGATGGAGTTGCTTTTGCATTACTGCCAAACATCAGCTCATCCAACCTGTATGCGTCTGCCTCTCTGTTCTGTGTTCTGCTCTATTTGTTTATGTGTATGTAGTAAATATGATATCATTATTCTCATATAGAAAATCCTGACATTAGCAATGATTGCTTCTACTTCATTCTTGTTTTCAGAATTAAATTTAGGTATTTTGGCTTTTTTCTTCCAATATTTGAATAATTTTGTGTTATTTATAAAACCACTGCTAGACTTTTTAAGGAATAGTTTAAACTTATTTTGGTGGTTTGAATGAAAATTGCCCCCATAGGTTCAAAGGGAGTGATACTATTAGGAGGTGTGGCCTTGTTGGAGTAGGTGTGGCCTTGTTGGAGGAAATGTGTCACTAGAGGTAGGCTTTGATGTTTCTGGAGCTCAAGCCTGACTCAGTGGCTCACTCTCTCTTCCTGCTGTCTTTGGTTCTGAGTGTAGAATTCTCAGCTCTTTACCAGAACCATGTCTACCTGCATGCCACCATGCTTCCCACCACAATGACAATGGACTAAACCTTTGAACTTCAAGTTAGCCCCAAGTAAATGGCTCTCTTTATTAGAGTTGTCATGGCCACAGAAACAGGATACTGACTAAGACACCTATCTTCATTTTGAACTTAGTATTTACCTAATCATTTGTTTTCTGTTAATGGAATGAATTGTTTTTAACATTTAACAATTGTAACAGCTTGGCACCTTTGGCAGAAAGTCTTCTTGGTCAAGGCATATTTCTATGTACTACTGAATTGTATGAATATGTGTTTATTAAGGATTTCTGAGTGTATATTTATGAGGAATATTGTTTTATTGTTTTTCTTTTTATCATCTTTGATTTGATGTCATTGATTTTATAATTAGTGGGTATTGTAAGTATTTTCTCCCATTTTGTGACAGTCTTTGAACTTTGATAGGGTCCTTTGGGGTATCATATCGATTTTCATAAGGTTCAATTACATCCTTTTTCTCTTCTTTTATGGCTTTAAGTGATGTGTCTACACAGCCATGGCCCAGTTGTGAATCAGTAACATTGATACCCATATTTCCTTTAGCGCTTATTTTATGTCTTTGATTGTTGAATTGGTTCTTGTATATTGGATGAGATATGTATAGTAGTTACTACAAACCTGTGGACTTCAATCAACAAAATGTATTCCTTCACAGTTCTTGAGGTAATGTGTCTGAAACCAGTTTAAGAGAATTGTTTCTTCTGGAGGTCTTTGGGAATAATGTAGTCTCTGTTTTCTCCAGTTCCTGGGGGCTGCTGACATTGCTTTTTTTGGGATTGCACCACTGCAATCTATACCTAAGTGGTCCCATGCCTCTGCCCTTCTGATTGTGTCCTGTATGTCCCCTTACACCCAAGGTCTGCTGTAGGGCCAAAACAAAAGCTCCATACTCTGTAAGCACTCAGTTATTCATATCCACAAAGTCTTTTTGAATGTGTTGTAAAATATTCAAGTGGAGAAATCCTACCACAGAAGAGAGACCCCACTATCTGTACGTGTGGATAGGCTGCCTTGGCAACATGTTATAAGAAAAGTCTATTCTTATTCCCTTTGAGCTGTCACGTACAATTGTCAAAAACCAGTTGGCTATAAATATGGAAGTCCATCTTTCTTCCCTCGGTTTTTAGTAATTTGAATCCTTTCATCTTGGTTGACCAGAGGGAGGCTTCTCGATGTTGATTTTTCCCAAGAGTCCAGTAAGCTGGTTTCTCATTGTTGATCTTTTAACTTTGTTGGCTTCTTGTATTTTCTACTTTTGTTTATTTCAGTTCTAATCGCCATCATCCCTCTTTCTATGGGTTGATATGGGTTAGCTTTCTTTTTTTTTGCTGTTGGCTGTATAAGGGCTGAGATGACTCATTTGTGATTTCTTTCTAACAGTTATTTACAGGTAAACATTCTCAAATTTTTCAATAAGCCCTGCAGCAGTTGAAACCCTTGAGTCTTGGTAGCTGTGTGTGTGTGTGTGTGTGTGTGTGTGTGTGTGTGTGTTTTACCTCACTTGCCTTAAAATATCTTTCTAATTTTCCCTGTGATTTTTTTCTTTGACATAATGGTTATTTCAGTATATATTATTTAAGGTTCACATCTCTGTGCATGCTCTTATTGTCGACAATTTCTAATTTCTTTTTGGTATATTTAGGAAATCTACTGTCAAAGATTACAGTTTTTTGAAATTTATTTTGTCTACCCACACATGGTCTTTTCTGGATAACGGCCCCTGAAAACTTCAGAAGGATGTGTGCTTTACTTTTGTGAGATGGGGTGTTCTACTAATGCCTGCTAGGCTAGCTGCCTCACAGTGTTGTTCAAGACTCCTATTGTCTTAGTTGTCTTATGTCTAGCTGTTCTACTGTTAGCAGTGGGGTACAGATATCTTTAATCAATAGGGTTGAATAATTCAGTTCTTTCGAGTTTATCAGTTTTAAACTGTATGTGCCTTCACATTTCACTGATGTGTATTCTCCCTGCTTATAATGCTTCAATCTTAATTAATTCCATTGTCTTAAACAAATGCAGCAACATTCCAAGTGTATTTTGTGCCCAGTTGGATTTGAAAAGGCAATTTAACAACTAATGTTCTATACAGGGTTTAGAAATAGAGTCTAGGTAAAGGGCCAGGAAATCAATATTTAGGTTCTGTGAACCATGTGGTCTCTGTCAAAATATTTAACTCCGTTACTGTTCTGAGTAAACAGACAGAGAAGCTGTAAATGAACAGGGTGGAGTACAACCCAGTGAACCCTTATCTACAACAGCAGACAACAGACTGGGCTGCATTTGCCAACCCCTGATCCACAGGAACACTTTCCAGCAAGTTGCTCATTTCCAGCATGGTTTTAATCGATATTACCCCTTGTGATTTTTCAGGCCATTTCCTCTGCGTAATTTCAGCAACTAATTTGACATTACGAACTTTACACATATTCAAGGCTTTATCCACCAACTCATGATGAATTTATTCCCAAGGGGGAAAAACTTTCCTTCTTTAATGTCTACTTCTGAAACAGATATGGAAAGCATTCCCACATTATCTTCACGGTCTCTGTGTCACTGGGAACTTGAATATTGACATTTGACATTCAATAAACTTAAGACAGCATAATTTTCTTATCCTAAACCCAAATAGACTTGATGCATGTGTTCTAATGAGCCACATCTGTGTTCAGAGTACAACTCTGCAAGTCTACTATAAAAGAACATGCTAAGATCTACTGTGCTTGTCTAGAATGTATGAGACTCTTGTGTTGGGAGGGATGTGGCAAGGACTGAGCTGTCAAGATGTCAAGAGTACTCCTGAGACTTCAGAGGTGCAGGGCAGGGGAGTGGTGCCATGCCAGTCTAGAAGCGTGACAGTCAGAAGGTGGAGCTAATTGGTGACTGTTCGCTGGTACGCAGTCTGCAGCAGAGACTAAGTGGGTGAAGTAATAGAATGACAGCTTGCGGAGAAGAGTTCTGTAATGGGGACGGGGTAGAGCTGCACGGATACCTTCATGCCCTGGGAGGAAACGAGACATGGATGTGAGGTATTTATCACAATGTTATTATCCCATGACACATTCCTTCCATGGGCCTCGAATTCTGCCACACATTTCCTCAGGGAGGAAGAAGTGGAGGGTGAGGTTATCTGAGTTTAACAGACTCAGAAATGATGGCCTGCTGTCACCTAGTGACAACGACGCTAAGCTTATTTGCTTCGGCTCTGGAGCACCTTTTGGGATGAAACCTGGACATCTTCCCAAGCTGTCTGCCTTCAACTGCGTTACAGCAACAAGTATTTATTGAACTTTGGCTGTGTCTGGGGAGAAGGATAAGAAGATAAAGCAGTTACTGGTTGTGGCAAGCTTATCAATTACCAGGCCCTGTGCTGAGGGCTTGACAAATGCAAGTTCATTTGTTGCTCACAAGTGATGCTGGTAGCCAGAACTAAAATGACCCCCATTTTGATGACGAAAAAACTGAGGCCATGAAGGGTTAAGGACCTGAACCCTCTTTTTTCTGATTCTAAGATTCTTTAAACAGTGTCTGCAGGCCCTCACCTAGCACTGCTTTGTCTGTCCGACTGCTACATTTTATACTAATCCACAGTGGTGGCATTCTGGTTTACTGGCTAGTGTCTTGTGACTCTTAGGGGGCTAATTTAGGTTCAAGGCTGAAAAGGTGAACGAATTTAATTGTCTTCCAATAATAAGTAGCTTGCCATGACTCACACCGATGACCTGCTTTTTTATGAACAATGGTAACTCATGTCTTGCTCCTTATTTCTCCTAAATATAGTTAACAATGCCATGAGGAAGTTTATGAGCCTAAATGCTATGCAAGCTGGAAGGGCCAATGATAGGCAGAATTCTAAATCTCCCCTCAAAAATTCCTGTCCCCTGATGGAACTGCTTGCATAATTCCCTCCCTCCCTACACACACACACACACACACACACACACACACACACACACACACACATATTTGATCAAACACATTATATGTATATATGAAATATGTATCTATACACATATAATTTTCTAAAAGAAAGCTGGAGAGATGTATTTTATTGTGGATGCTGAGTGGGATCTGAATTCTTGATATTTTGGTTGTGAGCCTTAGTATTTAATCTCTGAGCTATTTCTCCAGCCTGAATTACATATTGCATGTATATGCGTATTGGAATATATGGTTCAGTGTGTGTGTGTGTGTGCAGAGGTCAGAGAACTACTTGCAAAAGGAATGTAACTCAAGATGAATTTCACCTCCAGAGACATCTTACTGGCCCTACCTCTTCATATGGGTGGGATTTGTCATTATCGTGGTCTCTCTGTCTCATGGTTAGATCACACTGTTGGGAAAAATACGAAAGGATTTCTCGGGTGTGATCAGTGACTCAGTTTAGTTGTTTGAAAATTAACCAGAAGAAAGATATCCTAGATGGGTCTGAACTAAGGTGAATAGCTTCCAAAGAGAGCTGGTCCATTTTGAAAAGACTTAATCCCTTGTTGTCCTTGAAAAGCTGTCATGCCGTGAGATGTCACACAGCGAGGAACAGACACACCGAAGAGAACATCTTGTTGATACCTGCTAAGGAAATATAAAACCCAACCCTGCATTCACAAGGACCTGGGACTAACAGCAACCACGTGAACTCCAGGAAGGCATTCAGCTCAGTCAATAGCTGGATTTAGCGGGGCAAGATGCCGAGAGGATGATCGTTTTATGTTGCATTTGGATTCCTGACCCCTGGGAACTGTGAGGCTGGTGGTGAGCGTTGTTTTACACCATTAGGGTTGTGGTGAATTGTGTCCAACTAACACAGAAGGACACCTAGAGAGAGGATATACTACTTCTTGTTTGTGTTTTTCCAAACCCGTCGTCCAAGCAGCATTCAGAGTTCCCTTTCATTACCACACACAAGGAAGTGACTCGCCTGCAGAAGGCACCCTGTGGCTTCCCCTTGGCTGACATCGCTTCCCAGCAGACTACCAACACTGTAGAGAACATGGCTTCCTCTGCTTTGTCTGCCCTTCCTCCAGCATTCTCCCACCCCATGCCTGGGTCTCCCTTCGCTTTCTGTAACATGAGGGGGTCCTGCTTGTTTGTGTTTTCTGTCCTGCCTGGTTCCCACGGCCGTTTAGCCCTCAAAGAAAATCACACAGAGATCTCTATAAGTTATAAAGCTGATTGGCCCATTAGGTCAGGCTTCTTATTAGTTTTTGTAACTTATATTAACCCATTATTCTGATCTATTTTAGTCATATGGCTCGGTACCTTTTCAGGCTGGCAGATCACATCCTGCTTCTATGGTGGTCCATGCAGGACTGGGAGGAATCAGTTTCCTCCTGCCCAGAATTCTCCTGTTCTCATTGCATCATTTCTATTTTCTCTCTGATTTTCCCTCCCATACTTCCTGCCTGGCCAATCAGCATTTATTTAAAACATGATAGATAGATTACAGACAATTCTCCCACACCAGCTTTCCAGATGACACCGCCAAGCACATCACCAATACAGAACCTTCACATTGCTCCTCCTGAGTCTGCATATTCCCTAGGCTGGATGATATTAGACTTACTGTTCAGGGCTGCATTTTCTGATGTAGAGGTCATCCTTGAGTCCCCATCTCAGTTGGAATCTTGCTCTGACATCTCAGAGATTTGTGGTCATGCATTTGCATATATTTCCAATGATTTCCTCCATCTTCCCTTCCCCATTAGAATCTCAGCTCTTCCAGGTTACAGAATCCTTAGTGGAGCTGGTGTGGAGCTCATTCATGCCAGTGACTGATAATTTTTGTTTCCTACTAGGATGTCAGGAATTGCTTTCAGTGTCTCCTGGCAGGATATGAGCATATGGTCATTTGGGTCCTTGAAATTTGGTGGAGCATGACAATTATTACTTCTGGGCAGAAGCTTTTAAGGAGTAGGTGTGCAAGTGTCCATATCTCCTTCCTGACATAATGCCAGTAATGGCTCTATCTAGTTCAGAATTGTGGACCAAATTTTGGTTATGGAAATCAGAACTGATTAAAGTTAGCATTAAATAAAAATTAAGTGTCATTGCTACACCAATGGCATTTTAAGTGCTTAGTTGCCTCCCACGGCTAGGTACTGTTTTCTACTGTCAAAAGTAGACTTTTTCTTTTATTACAGTTAGACCTTTTGGGCAGAGCTGCTGGAAACTCTTTCTGAATGAGGAAACTATGAAGCCTTTTTTGTTACCTATAACATCAGCATATCCTGACTGATCAATGAAGTCATTGAATAGTTTCTGAATAATTTCGTGATTGAATTTCAAGAAGAGATTGGATAAAGAGGGGGCAAGGAGGATATACTAAGAAAGGGGAGCTACACAAGAAGCAACATGGATCTGGGAAGTTGACAAGATCCCTAGGAATGCCAAAGTTTATATGAGGAACCTTTGATGTGGAAGAGACCTGGAAAAGTCAAGATTAAGCTTTGGTAGAAAGCATGAGTCAAGGGAAACTGGTAGACTCTCATTGGACTCCCAGAGTTCTTAAGCCATTATGGCTTGTAGAGAACATTGCTTGAATTCAGATAAACACCTTGACATGCTACATCTGTGATACACACCATCTGTCAAATGGGCATAGGGAACCTACTTCAGAACTTAGACCCCAGATGGTCCTCAGTAACTAGGCTCCTGTCCTCATTGTCCCAAAAGCTACAATATACTCTTCACTAAAACCAGAGTGAAGACAATTGCCACTTCCAGTGCACTTCCCAAGGGAATCATTGCAAGAGAAATAGTCCCTTCACCCTGAGAGGGCCACAGTACCATACTGATGAGAAAAATACAAGAACAACTATTGCCTCTACTTCTCAGGTACACATAATGGGAGATAACCAGGATCTATACGTAGAGTTCCAGGTATGTCCTCTTCAAAATGCATGGGTGACATGACCACTCCTTCATGTCCTTCCTGGGTGGGGAAATTAATGAGATTCAGTACTGAATGTTTATGAAACGAAGAGAGGGAAAAGATAAGAGCAGTATTTAATATCCAAAGAGTCTGAACCTCAGAGTCTAAAAGAGATTCATGGAATAAATAATAGATACTTGAAACTCATGGAACTATTGAGGTAGAAGAGGTTGTTACCAAACTGGGGAAGAGTTGGAGAGGTTTTGCGTTGACTTCCTGAGGGTCCTTACTTGGGAAAAAGATTTTATTTCTAGTCAAATAGTATTGGATTCTTCAAGGAGCCTGTTACCCTAGGACTATGGATGGAACATGGCCATCCCTTGATGATCTTCGCAAGCATTACAGGTTGAGAGATCCTTTAAGAATTCCCTCTTGAATACTCTCCAGTTTCATCCTTTAAGCTCCAAGTTGATGAAACATAAAGTAACCATTAAAACAAAACAGGGGGAGACAATGTGATATTCTTAAAGTATTTCTAGCTTTATAATTATTTCATGGATGAGAGAGCCATTATATGGTACCATCCAGAAATGTGAAAATTATTTGTTTCAGACAAGCAGACCCGATCCCGTTATAGGTTTTGATTAAAATGAAAACTTACCGCATTTCACTCCTCAAAATATGATAGCTTCACGGGCAATTGATGTCAGCTAGTTCCACTGCTGCATCTCTAATTCCAGAGCTTATGATAATATTTTTTTTGGAGTCAAACATGACATAATGCTAGAACTCCTGGAGCTGGCAAAGATGATAAAGCGTTTTAGCCACAGCAGGTGCTCTGCAAAATCTTTTATTAGAAGAGCTGCCATGCACATGCTCAGAGTGTGATGGATTGCACAGAAATTAAGAGTGACACACTATGCATTTACAGCATGAAAATTTCTTCCACTAATTGAAGCAATGAGAATGATCTCCAAACAGAATCTGACTGGAGCTGGACAGGAATGGCTGCTTTCCACAACACTCTAGAGCATGAATTTTTGCCCCTGTAAAGAATGCTTGACCTAAACTATGAGTTGATGATAAAATGTAACTGACATGATTTAATCAAAAGTCTAACTCTTCAGTTATACCTTGACTTCCATTTCCAACGTGATACATGGATATTTTCCCTTTCTATTTAATGTATAATGTGTACTGTAACTTCCAGTGACAGATTTCAGAGTGAATGACTTCCAAATATCACAGGTGTTCAAGGCATGGCGCCAATGGTGACGGTTGTGGTGTGTATGTTGTATGTGTTATATATGTATGTTGTGTCTCTGTGGTGTGTGTATTCATGTATGTTGTGTATATGGTAGATGCATGGTGTGCATGTGTGTGATGTTTGTGAATGTGTTATGGAAGTCTTTTTGTACACTGCAAAGGTGTGTTGTTTTCATTGGTTTAATAAAGAACCGATAGTCAATAGTTATGGAGGAAGAGGATAGGTGATATTTTCAGACCTAAAATAGAAAGTGTGTGATGAAGAAGGGTGGGGTTGCCAGGAGACATGGGGAGAAGCAAGATGAAAATGCTTTGTTGAAAACAGGTACCAAGCCACATGGTAAATCTTAGATAAGAAATATAAATTCATTTAAGTTAATAACAAGCCTAAGCTATTGGCTGAATGTTTATAACTAATAATAAGTCCCCATGTCATTTGTTTGGGAGTCAGTGGTCCCAATGAAAACCTCTGCCTACATGTATTTATGTATTGTATGTCTGTGTATGCATCGATTTTGTGTGTGCTGTGAGTTATATCCATTGTATTTCTATGTTGTGTGTATTTGTGTGACTTGTATATATGTACGTGCTTTATCTGGGGTGTGTATTTGCATGTGTGTGTGTGGTGTGTATAAATGGAGTAAATGTATTTTGTATGTGTATATATATGGTGTGATGTGGGTTTTTGTTACCAGTGAGTAAGAAATTCTTGATGAATGCTCTCTATTAACAGCTACTTGACTTCTGGGGAAGATGTTGAAGGGCTTTATTTGTTTTGTACACTCCTTGCCCAGAAGAACATGAAAGCACATATCTGTTCCTATTGGCCTACCAGCATAGACCCATACTGATTTTCTAAAGCTTTTTGAGAGAGAAAGGTGGCCACTATGCACATGAGAATGTGGAACACAGCTAAACAAAAGTAATGTTTCCCACAAAAGCATAGGAGCTTTATAACCAAACAAGCCCATTCCTCCCAGATAATTGCTTATTTCCTAATTCTTTGTCAGGCTTTCCCACACTGTGACCTGGATATCTTCTTTACCCATTAGCAGTACAGCTCCACCTCCCCAGGAACGATGCTGAGGATATGCATAGGAAATGATATATGGTTCCCTGTCCTCTCCTTCCCACAATACACTTGTCACTTTTATTTTTGTAAGTCAGCACTTAGTCTATCTGGTTTTCTCTAGCAGTGTGACATCATCACTGACAGCTAAACAAGTACTTACTGAATCTCTGGCTTTTGAAAATGCTAGCTTAGACTGCAAAAAGATACTTGGGCCTTTAAAGGTTAGATCAGCACCTGTGGATGAGTGGATCCTGCATACAATGAAAATTGAGACATTTGATTATAATACTGAATCTTGGGTAGGAGAAGCAATTTTCAAAGGTATGAGGAGACATCAAAATGCCAAATGTTTTAATTGTGGTAGAATAGGACATCTGAAAAGGGTTTGTAGATGAGAAATTCCTAGAAATAATGCCTCCTTTGGGAATGGCAAAAATAAAAGTTATCAACCTTCTGGATTATGTAGAAGGTATGGCAAAGGCCAACATTAGACCAATGAGTGCAGATCAACAAAAGACAGACAAGGCAACCTGTTACCATTCAGAAACTCTTTGGGTGGGGGGGGGCTCTCGCAGGCCTCCAAGTCAAAAGCAGTCCAGTCATTCCTAGTCAATGTGAAGGACATGGCTCACCAGGAAAATTAAAAAAAAATATCCAGAGCATTCTGTGAAAAACCATACTGATCTGGATGATGGTATAAACATGGAGAATGAATCAAAAAATTCTAATAGAAAATAGGAAATGTATATTCTGGCATACTTCTATAAATGTTCAAAGACCAAACCTAAGAGTGTGTATAAATGGCATTATAATTGTGGGTTTGATAGACAAGGGTGCAGATGTGAGTATCATTACTCCACAATCTTGGCAACCAAATTGGCCTCTTCAGGAGGCAGATGTTCAATTCCTAGGAATTAGAACCCTATCTCAAGTGAAACAAATCATGAGATGGGTTGAATGCATAGGGCCAGAAAGACAGAGAGGAAAGCTGAGGCTAATATTGCAGTGAATTTATGGGGTCATGACCTGCTGCAGCAATGGAATACCCAGATTAATATTCCTGCAGTCTCATAAACTCATATTTCTAGGAAGAATATTATAAAGTACTACACACAAAAGTCACCAGACATTCATGCTATACAAGAACACAAAGTAATTAGCAAAACTTTGGAGTTACCAATGGCTCTACCTTTAAAATGGTTAACTGAAAAACCAATATGAGTTAAACAGTGGACTTTAACAGAAAACAAACTGCAGGCTTTAGAACAGCTGATACAGGAGCAAATAGATACTCAGCATATTGAAGAATCAACCAGCCCTTGAAATTCTCCTGTATTTGTTAAAAAGAAATCTGGTAGATGGAAAATGGTGACAGATCTAATAGCTATTAACAAGGTAATTAAACCTTTGGGCTCTCTACAATCTGGAATTCCTTTGCCTTCTTTGTTACCTAAAGGATGCCCTCTTATAGTTATTGATGTAAAAGATTGTTTCTTCACTATACCTTTACAAGAAAAAAGAAACAGAAAAAAATTGCCTTTACAGTGCCTAATTATAATAATTATCAGCCTACTAGGAGATACCAGTGGAGTATCCTTCCACAGGGAATGCTCAATAAACCTACCCTGTACCAATACTTTGTACATCAGCCATTGGAAATAATATGTAAACATTTTCCTAAATCTATAATTTACCTTTACATGGATTACATTTTGCTATCTGATTCAAATGCAGATACTTTAGAAAGAATGTTTGAAGATGTAAAGAAAGTCTTGCCAAAATGAGGATTCCAAATTGCTCCTTAAAAAAAATCCAGAGAGGAGATTCTGTCAATTACTTAGGTTATAAAATAGGTTTACAGAAACTTAGGCAACAACAGGCACAACTTAGGAGAGTCTGATTGCAGACTTTTAACGACTTTCAATGATTGTTAGAAGACATTTCCAGACTATGACCAGCTGTTGGGATAATACCTGATCTAATAATTCATCTAGACAAAACCTTAATGGTGACAAAGGCTTAAATAATTCTAGAGAATTAACATCTGAAGCTGAAAAGGAATTGATTGTCATTGAAGAAAAATTACAGGAGGCACATGTGAATAGAGTGAATTCAAATTTTAATTGCATTTTAGTCATAGTGCCTTCTAGAATTTCCCCTACAGGAATTTTAATGCAAAGGGAAGATATTATCTTAGAATGGATCTTTTAATCACACAAACCAAGTAAAAAGTTAAAAACTCATGTGGAAAAAGTCTCTGAATTAATCATAACAAGAAAACTGAGACTTCTTCAACAAGCAGGGATAGACCCCACAGAGACTATAGTGCCTTTTATTACTAATGAAATTAAAAAGTTATGGCAAGTAAAGGAACGTTGGCAAAGATTTTGTGCTTTTTTTTTTAGGAGAGAATAATAGTAATTATCCTAAAACTGATAGAATTAACCTTATAAAGAGAACTACTTGGATCCTTCCCCACATTGTATGGGACACACCAACTGGAGCCTATACATTTTCTACTGATGCAAATAAATCAGAAAAGGCAGGTTACAAATTAAAAGATTTAAGAAAGGTGGAACAAAGCCCTTATAATTCTGTCCAAAAGGCAGAATTATATGCTATTCTCATGGTACTAAGGGATTTTAAAGAACCTCCTAATATATTGCTGATTCATAGCATGCAGAAAGAGTTGTCTTACACATTAAAACTGCTGAGTTTATACCAGATGATACAGAATTGACTTCCTTATTAATATAGGTTCAAGATATAATCAGAAATAGGCTTTGTTCCAGATACATAACACACATCTGATCCTATATGGGTCTGCCAGGTCCTCTTGCACAAGGTAATTCAGAAATTGATTGATTGTTCATTGGAAGTGTGTTGAAGGCCTCAGAATTTCATAAGAAACATCAATAGCAAAGTTTTAAAGAAAGAGTTTTCTATTACATGGCAATAAGCTAAGGAGATTATACAGAGATGTCCTACTTGTTCTTTCTATAACCAAATACTGCTACCTGCAGGGAGTAACCCAAAGGGTACTCAAAGGAATGAAATCTGGCTGATGGATGTGTTTAATTGTTCAGACTTTGGAAAATTAAAGTATGCACACAACACCATTGACACTTATTCAGCTTTTCAATGGGCAACTGCTTAGAGCTCAGAAAAGGCTGCTTCTGTAATCACATGTTTATTAGAAGTTATGGCCATCATGCTATACCTACACAAATAATGACATATAATGGTCCAGCATATGTATCTAAGAAAATAAAAGTTTTTGGTTATTATAATATAAAGCATATTACAGGTATACCACACAATCCTACAGGTCAGGCAGTTATAGAAAGATCAAATTGAAGTATAAAGAATATGTTAAACAAACAGAAAGGAATGGAAAATACCCCCAGAAATTGATTGCATAATGCTTTATTATCCTTAAGTTTTTCTTAACACTAATGAGAATGGAACAACAGCAGCAGTGAGACATTGGATAATAGAAAAAGCTTTTGAATTAAATTAGCCAGTGTATTTCAAAAATGTGTTGAATTCATAATGGAAACCAGGAGATGTGCTATGCTGGGGAAGGGGTTTTGTTCTTGTTTCCACAGGAGAAGAAAAAGTTATGGATACTATCAAAATTAAAAAGATTTGGTTTGAAAAAAAGAAACTTCTTGAGAAATAGAAGTGACAGTTCATCTTCAGAGATGAGAACCATACAGTTGATAAAGAAATATTATAAGGATTGGGGTAGGGTTCTGTTTTTGTCTTTGTGGCAAAATACTCATCTTCAAAAAGTCAAGACCCTAAAAAGTTAGATGACTAAAGAGGAAAAGATAAGTATCCAGATAGGATCACCAAGAAAAGAGAATTATGATTTATGAGGACAGGTCATACTCAGGATAAGAATCTTTAAACATAAACTGGAATAATAGTCATGACTCACTTAAAAATCAAAGTTGGCTTTGAGTTAGACAATGGCCCTACCCTTCTCTAAATCCAAGCATGTTGTTAGAAGAAAAATTCAGAGTTTCTCTCATGTCAGGAGCCACCTAGCATGGGACAGAGGGAATAAAGAGCTTAGAAAATATTTTACTTTTCTTCGTACCTATTTTTGTCTCTATCACACCTTTCATTGAACATGTGTCTGAATAAATAATGTTTATGTTTTCCACAATGAACAATGAATTTTCCTTCAGTTGTTTTTGAAGTTTCCAGGAAGAAGGTGGGGCCCCACCTGGTTGATATGACATCATGATGCTGGGGATAACACTACTATAAGGCCTGTTTTGATACCAGCTGCTCAAGATGGTTCCAACTTGGTTAACTGAAATGATGCACTATTTTTACAATGTTCTGGCCAGAACTCCAAATAGGATCCTTAGAAAATCCCAACTGAATACTCAGAGACTATTTGCTATTATACCAGGCAGTAATCTTGAAACTTAACCATCATTTTACTTTTACAGGATCCCATAGAAAAAACATTGCCCCATGAAAGCTGGAAGTAATTCTAGAAGACAACATCCCCTCTCCCAACAAAGTTTGTTTTCAGTGTTAGACATCATTTAGGGGTTCATTATAATTGGTATAGGGTTGGGGTAGGGTTGGGGTTGGATTATGTAGGCTCAGGGATCTCTTTGAAAAAAGGAGGAAAATTACATGGGATAATAGATTAGTATAAGCTTACTCACACTAATAATAATAGTGAATAATAGAGTGAATACTTGTGAGCTATTATTTATAGGCAATTTACATTGGTATAGTTTCTTGTATATTGGTGCAAATTTAAATTATATTGAATATATTTTTATTTTTGTCTACAATATTTGTATACCTAGGCAAAGTTGTTTTGTCATATTGTATGCTTCTACCTCTGCTTAAGACATTTTGTATCTTGATACAATTTTAGTATTTATTTATCATATTGCAACATACATTTCTACCTTTTATCAAGATACTTTTCATTGTTTACATTTTTGGGTCATTGTTCTCATCTTTGCATAGTTGTTTAAAGATTGTTTATTATTCTATTATGAAGTCTTAGTTTTTAAACTAAATAGGTATTAAAAATTATAGGTCAATAGTCATCAATGTTTGTCATACGTATAGTTAGACTAATCTGGTTCTTTAGATACATAGAGATTATATTCTGCATAGATAGGTAATCTTCAACCACTTCAAAGAACTGTAGAATATGGCATTTAAATACTTTAGGGTTCTGTTGATGTGAGACACGATTTCTCCTGGCAGCAC